CGCACCATTTGTGGCTGTTGGAGCCATTGGAGGCGATAGATCTTCACCAGTGAAATGGTGAACGATGAACTGAAATTGAAATTGGCTGACTTATCGGTTGTTTTCTTCAGAGCAATGGCCGCATTCTAGTTAGCTGTCAGAGTTTTTCCCTAATAATGCGGTCAGTTATGTGAATGGTAACGTTCTGATGATTAGCCTCTAAGCTTGCGTTCTGAATTAGTGAGAAAAAGTTAATTTTATGTTATTTATGAAGAAATTAATCGCATATCTCACTCTTTACTATATGGATGTCTATGATTCATGCATTCACTGTGTTACTGAGCAATATTAGTCATGGTAATATGACCGGTAGAACAATTGTGATCATAGGTAAATGGATATGAAGTGGTGAAGATAGTCATGATATGATGATGGCAGTTTCATACCTGCTGTTGAGCTTGTCTTTGCATATACTGCAAAAACCATGGTCGTAAATTTATCGTCGAATCTTCTCCACTCGTGTTCCTCGAATTCCGCTTCATTCTCCGCCTACAGTAGTGAAAATATTCAGCCATTTCCGAGGCATTCACGTTTAGCTTTCTGCACACTCATTCAGAAATACTATCAGATAATGTGCTCTGATTTGTGGTGCTTTCACAGTGCTTCGGCCATTTTTGAGTTCCAACCTACTGATTTTAACCTAGCTGAGTATTTAGGATTGCTAAGAAACGCGATGATTTTCTTACATCATGGGATTGAATTACTTCGCTGTTATCGAGGGATTATTTATTTCTGGAGGAGAATGTTCATTTTCAGATGTACAACGGAATTGTTTAGGGTGGTTTATCCATCTGACAGTGAGTGATTTCATTCAGCCTCCAATATCTATGCATTTGATCTCTTTGATGATCAATAATGCACCAATAAAAGAATATCAGGAATATTATCCTCAAACTGAGTGTATCTGCAGATTTGCTTCGGATCTGGACAATGCATGCACACTATTAAACTCTTCAGATCCTCTAAGCTCACAAAAGTTCATTCGTTGTCGAGCAATTATATTCAGTTTCAAAGGAACAGCTAATTTTTCGAAGGCATGTCATATAGCCGAGGAATATCATAATATTATCAAACTGCGTTAATTTGACGGAGTGGTCAGTAGCACATTGTTACAGGTGCTCATATAGCATCGTCTTCGTTTCAATAGTACATTGTAATTCTATTAGCAATCGTATAATTTTCCTACCCTTCAGGTGGGGTAGATCCTGAGCTAACCGAGAAGCGCATATCCCTGGAATGCCTTAGCATGTGTCCAGAGGTAGAGGCGCTTTCGAAGGAATATTTGATCTATTAGGGGATCAATTGTTTACCAAGCATCCGCAGTTCTGCACTCTATCCACATCTTATCGTCATCTTCAGTTATTCATCATATTTTCAATTGCAACTGATATAGAATTTCTCGAAAGTACATGATTTCTCGTGATATACCTCATGCAACAACCATTTTCGCAAGAAACACGGTGGAAAATCGCATTGTAGGACTAGCAATTGTTAGGAGATGGTTGGCTAGAACAATGCTTTGTGACGGTTTGGCTGTTGTGTTCGATTGTAAGAAGATTGAGAAGCTGCTGACAAACAAATGATTATGATTCACTATTGTTTTAGAAAGCGATTATATACTGGCGCCACGCATCTTCATGTCTTTTGGCCGTCTTTTTTTGCATTATTCGTCTTCTTTTTTTCGTAAGAGTCTTCATGCTTACGCAAGTGACCATCTGTTCCATTTACTACAGATGTCTTAAATATTGTAGTAATAATGATCACATCTTGTCCGTATAAACTCCACAATAAATACTCCATATAGTGCTCAAAAACAATTATCGTTTGGAAGGTCTTCTAGATCGTTTTGATTTTTTGTCACAAGGAGAGAATGTTATCCCCGTATACGATTTGTGAATCACTAAGAATTGATACTTGAAAGAAACGACTCTAAGGGATGTTTCTGCAAGCTCAGGGACTTGACATGAGTAGATTTGTTAAGCTTGCACTAGATTGAACTTTCTTACATTGGTGAGATATCTTCGGGGGATTTATTTACATGATCTTAGATTTCAAAAGGATCGGGACAGGAATATGCTTCTATTCATACAGTTCCGGGATTAGCTTCGCGGATTCAACTGGAGTATTGGTGCCAGTCTGTTGTTCTCAAGGGATGTGTTTTAAAAATTATTGGACAAGGACTGAGACCGTTGAATGATTCTGCATTTTGGAAATTTCAAGACGGTTCACTTATGAGTGTGACTTTGGAAATATATGACAGTGAATCGCTTTCTGATATTCGCGTTAAAGCATAAAGCAGAATCAATTTTACTCCTCATAATGAAATTTTCCTAATTTCATGTAATCTTCATATCATTTTCATGCATACAATTACTCTGTTCAACTGATCAGTACATTGAAAACCAAATATTCTGCCCAGTGATCTTCTATTTGTGTTTGGTCAAGTCGATCATTTTAAAGCTCATACGCTTATAGCGATACATTCGCTGTATATCAGCGCCTACCTCATAGAGCTAAGTTTGACTGTACACCTGACTGCAAGTGTGCACCTGGGCTCGAATCTGATTCGAATGGATCGGGCAAAAATCCGTCTCGGGCAGCCATTTAATCGATGGCACTTTGGATAACTTTATAGATCATCGACCAAATCAGTTAGCAATCACGACTAACCTTCTTTTATAGTTGCCATTGTCGAACATATTTTCTGAATCCGGTGAGAGCGTCCAAAAGTTGCCTTTTCGATCGCTGGCCGGTCCGATGCCGTCTCGAGCTCGCTTTATAAAGCAATCATTCAACGATAGATTATGTCTTATGCTATTTTGCCAGCCTTGCCGCCGTTTTGAATCACAGTTACGATAGTAAGGGAATCGAGCATCGATGTACTGTAATTGAAGGACACAATCAAACAAGACACACCTTAATGAACAAGGCACCATAATCCATACAACATAAGACCAAATGATCATTATTCAACACGTTATACTGTAACCAGTGTACTGTATTTGCTATTTATTATGAAAACTATTGGTGGAAGTGGAAACAGAAGAAGAAGAAGTTAGTTCATCAGATAGATATGTTTTTGCGTGGCGATTTGAAAGTGTACACAACATATCTGATGAGATTAGTTGATGTCTTAGAATCGACTGGAATTATTAAATGTCTGGAATCTTTTGATGATCAATTGAATTATAGCTAATATCTACGCGTTCTGTTTCATTTTATGGGACCTTGATGGCACATATGTATATAGCAGTTACTCTTGAACATGTTTGCTATCTTCCGAAGATCTTGTTCCGCAGCGGGTCTCTGATTATTCCTTAATGTTTGCTACGATATTCTTTTTGGAAGATATCGTTAAAACATGCTTCCTCCACCAGTTATGCAGCAGCTCATCACACGATTTGACTGGGCATGATAGATCACAAAAGATGTGAGCATGTTGATACATCTGCTGTATTCTAAGGTGCAGTATGTTTGATAAGCACTCACGGGGACATATAACAAAAGTTTTGATATTCAAGGATTTGTGGATTCATTAAAATTAGACGCATGCTAAAAGTTTTGGATGAGATATTTGAACTGGTTATCTTAACGCTCGCTGTTCAGCTATTTTACTTCTACCACCTACTTTATCTGGCAGTGCCCGAAGTCTGTCTTTCGTTCGCACTCATCAAGTTAAATGAAAGTTGTCTTCATAACCTATCATCGAATAAGATTTCAATCACCGTATATTCAAGATCAAGTCACACATCAGTTGGATAACCTCTGAAGAGAATGATCACTCACTTACATTATAGATTTGCGACAGTGTCATTCGTCGTTCTGGTGAATCGTTTATAGCCATCGTTATCAATGCCACATACGAATACGGTGGTTTATCGTGTTCATTGCCCTCTTCACTGAACAAATTCATATCATGTGTACACTTTTCGAATTTTATGTTTCCATTGTTCCTAAGTTTAGACTCACCAACTTTTCAATTATTGAGCACCGTTCAGACACCTATTCATTCATGTTTCAATGAAGTATGATGCAGAACAAGAAGAGTTATCGTTGGAGAAGTACCACGAGTTCCTATTGACTTTACAGATTTCTTATCCATCTATAAATTTTTTGTGAGGAGCAATCAAGAGAGCAATCGAGAGTATGTCCTCAGTATAGCTCCATAAATTGCTGATTAAGAATATTTCAAATCTTATTTGGCGACTAGCACTTATCTCACTGAAGAGAGAACAATATGGCTTGTTACTATGGTATCAGTGTAAGGTAACGAAACGCATCTCAAGTAATTTTTCAGCATTCATTTAAGGATAATATCTGAAAACTTGATACCAGTATAGTAATATTATGCTTCAGACGAAGTTTAAGCCATACTATTACAGTTTCATTGGACATAAGTCATAACAGAACACTTATCGTATCATACAGAGTGCGATGAGGGTATACGATCTCCAATACTGCTTAATAAAAAGCGACGAAATTATCTGCTTCCCTAGATGGCAATGAGATGAAGNAAATAATCTAATTATTCCATTGGTTCTGTTTATTTGCTTATAGTCAGCAAAGTCATTCAGAGTTATTCATCTGGAGTTGAGACCATCACATACCGTAATCAACTGTAGACATTCCAACAATATGATGAGTGATGCAATATGTATTTGGGACAAGGAAAAAACGGGAAAAACTAGCAGAAACCAAAAACTTGAGACGTTGGCATGCTTGAATGAGAAGGAAGGAAAACTGGGCGATAGGGAACGAACACGTTGCTCATCTTGTTCTTTTCGATTATCCTTGAGAAATGGCATAGTATACGGTAAGTGTGATATGAATGTGAACTGTGTTGGGAAAAGCTTTTTGAGTGTACGATAGATTTGGGAACAATACGCAGCAATACACAAAGATGTGCTTTTGGATTGTTGTATAAAGATGACTGTTGATGAAAATCTTAGTGTGAGATAAGGATTTTGGTAAGAAATTTGCGATGAGACTACTGAAGATTGGGCGATAAATTGCGTGGAGAAAACTTTGCACTGATATTGAATAGATTTTTGTTAAAGAATTCTCTCAAAACTTGGTAATAAGACTGCGTTTCATTTGATAGACTAATCGAAACCAATTTCATTCCAAGCAACTTCCAACCAAGTTCACCGTTTCACTTCTTTTTGCATGTCCCGGTGAAATCATGCAAATGTCATTCATTGATTATAGAGTAATTTGCCTCGACGTAAGTTGATCAATAGATCAACTTACGTTCAGTTTAGGTTTGATCAATAGATTGAAAGTATTTGATCTGTATCAAGTGATTTCTGATAGCTTTTGTGAATCAGTAACTCCTGATTGGGAACTGAGTGAAACGTGTGTCTTATGAAAATATGTATTTGAAGGAAATATTCAAGTAAAACAATCCATTATTCGTGAATTTTCATCCGAAACTATTGGATTTCCAAAAGTTCGATCCATCTCTACAAAATGGAAATTGAAGCATAGCCGCAGAATGGATTCAACGCATTCCTTTTACTTTTAATATTTCATTAGACGATTTTTAACGTCTACTTCTTCAACTACTCCATTGAGTACGATTTTGAGTTCACCTCAGATGGTATTTGTAAAATGCAGTTTCTAATCCTATTGCTGACCTCAGCACTATTGTGGTTGAAAAAGCTCATTCAAGGTAGAATTGTAAGAAGAGATGAAGCGATGAAAAAGCATTTCTTCAGTTCATAAGAAAGTTGGCTATCACGAAATACATCGTCATAGTCAATTTCTCATCTAAAACCAACTGTAATTCTTGTCCAAGCATTACACAAAAACACCCAAACATATGCAAAAAGTCATAATCAATCCACTCACCAACTGTCATCAACACTGCTCAGCACTTCCATGCTTCAGCCAGTTTTTTACAGACTATACGTAACGATTTGACATGCATGAAATGTGCGTTAATAGAATATGCAAAAATATCATATTCCAATTTTGGTGTGCTTCATTCACAGTGTATATCTGTTAAGCAGACAAGACTAACGATGACTGAATAGAATTTTATGGACTATTTTTATGAATAAATGACAATTTTATATATTTCAGTGGATAAGAGCGCATAGTGTTATGGTTTGATTTAGCTGAGACGAAGTGATTATAGTAGTTTGAGGTAACATATTGAAAATGAAGTGGATGGGTTTCGCTGAACTTTGTAAATTGATTGGTGTTTTAGGTGTTTGATAAAATGAGGCCTCCCGTCTGATCAAATGCTGCTGATAGAATAAGTTCTAGTGAAATGGAAAGGGGATGAAAACAAGAGGACATGAAAGGTTCTGGATGAATTGAAGTGAATAACTGGGCAAGATCTTGCCAGGATAGTGGTCAGTGGCAAGACTGATCTCGGGACAGTATAGAACTAAATTGAGAAAAGCACTGTGAAATGAGCGCGCTTGAGAACGACGAGTTTGTTGATAAATTAGCGGCGGTGCGTTTTGTTTAGTGTTTATAAGATTTAAGGAAAATATTGTCGTTGAGAGGTAAAAATATTATTCTTTTTGTTTGTTTGGGTAGTCGTTTAACAGTGCACCCATTGTCTCAGTCATTTTTCATTTTCACCGCTCCACAAGTGTGGTGGTCATCAGTGAACTGTGCTGCCTGCCACACTTATCAATTGATTTCGAGGCCTAGTTGTTGGTTCACTTCAGTGCAATCTTCAACTTCAGTGCTTTCGATGAAAATTCAAAAGTTTCGTTGGGTAGGTTTGAAAATCTCCAAATTTCGCTGGAAGGAAGTCATTTTGAGTCCCTAGAAGACGGCTCTTTGAGGTTTTTTGAAGATCGGTATCGATTCATATGTTACTACCAATAACAGTAGATATAATTCGAAGGTAGATCAAAACTGAGTGATAATTTATTCATCTGTGATATTTTGCCATATCTGGTGTAGCAGATACTGTGATCCCATTCAAACTTTAGTATTTATTAGGAGGGTTATTTGATAGTTTATAACTTAGAGTTGAAACTATTCACTCTTTCAGGTTTCATAGAAAAGCACAATCGAAACTGCTGCCTAATACCGTTTTGTATGCTAGTCCTTAATCAAATGTAATATGAAAATAATGAAATGAGGAAGTTCTCATGAGACTGATCTAAAAACATGGGCTGCTAAACTGGAGAGTATGTGATCGCCCACAGTATGGTAGGTTGGAACTTAGATTGATAACAAAGAAGAGAATGGAGGCAGGTATTATTGGAAGGGGAAAGTCTCAAAAAGTTTCTGAAGGATTTGAGAAGTTTAGTTCAAAGCCAGATGATGATTGGTTCATTTTTGCTTTCATCGAAAGGAGTTAGTCAGGAATATTGTCCTACTCAGATTATAGGCGAACAAGAAGATCGCAAGCATATTCAGTGTGTGCTTAGTTTCAAATTAGCTGAGGTCACTAGCACTGAATTAATTTCACTTATGAACAGCGTAAGGCATTCAAACGTTGAATGATTCCGGAGAAATGCACGATGGCTTCGATGGTTTTTGCAGTCTTCCCAGAATCAAATCATTAGCATTTGTCAGAGACCTCAAACGCTTCTAAATTGC